GGACATCTTTGGGATGTAAGGATAGTTCTACACACACAAGTAAATGAAATGTACTACATGAATGAATGAAAAATTAATACATCATCGGTATAGAAAAAGCACTTGAAGCACTGAATATCCACTCATGACAAAAAAGGCCTCAAAAAACTAAGTACATGAATGGAACTGAAAATAATTCATGCCACATGTGACAAGTTCACAGTTAAAACAGACTCAATGATGAAAAGATGACACCTTCCTCTATAAGATATGGCTCAAGATGTCTACTGTTGCCACCCCTAGCCTTAGCAATTAGACAGAAAAATGAATCATTTTAATAGCATTAAAAGAGCATAATATTTACAGTGACCTGTGAGTTCAAGGCATCCCTACCCCAATCACAGAAACTGAAAAAGCTGTCCTGAATGCACGTGCAAGACAAGAGGCACTAGAAAGAAAACCTGTATTCAGTGAGAAAAACCAAGCTGGATCATCAGATGTTCTGACAGCAATCAATCAATACACTCATAGATGGAATAAAGATCCCAGAAGTGAATCCACATGTATGGCGAACCAATCTTAGAGCAGGATTCCAAGAATACACAATGGTGAAAGGAGAATGTGTAAAATAACTGATGCTGAAACCTGAATATTGATATTGAATCACTATTTAACAACATACACAAAAATCAACTGAAACAGGATTAAAGACATAGATGCATCCTGACACCAGAAAATTCCTAGCCAAAACCCTAAGGAAAAAGAGTCACTGACTTGGATCTAGGCAATGCTTACTTGGTTATGACTCTGAAATCACTGAAAAAAAGAGAAAATACATAAAATGGGACAACATCCAAATAACAAGTTTCTGCAGAGAAAAAGGAAATAATCAACAAAATGAGAATGTCTATGGACTATGAGAAAAGATGTGCAAATCATACAATAGACAGGGCAAAGGTCCTGAATACACATTATTCAAAGACATAAAAATGGCCAATGTTATATGAAAAGGTAATCACAAATATTTGACAATGAAGTCAAATCTTAAATCATCCTGAGATACTGGTCAAAATCACACAGCGACATCACCTTCCAGTGATGGATGACCACTATCAAAGTGGCAAAGGAATTTTTATTCACTGTTGGTATAAAATGAAACAATCCTTGTAAGAAACTGAATGGATTTTCCTCAAAAAGTTAAAATAGAACAGCACATGAACTGACAGTACAACAATTGGATAAATATCTAATAGATCTGAAGTCAGTATGTGAATGAGATATATGCATTCCATCTCAGTGCAGCATAACTCATAAAAGTCAAGATGCGGACACAGCCTTAGTGTCCATCAACAGGGAAATAAATGGGTGATGGGAATTTCATTCAGCAATAAAAAAAAAATCCATGGATTCATGACAACATGGATGAACCTATAGGACTTTATGTTAAGTAAAATAAACAAAACACAGAAAGGCAAATGCTATATGACCTCACTTGTATGTGAAATATAAATACCAAACATAGAGAACTAGAAGACATGGTGACTGTCAGGTGACAGAGATGGAGAGCTGTTAGTGAAAGGGTACAAGCTTTGTTGTAAGATAAATTCTGGTTATGTAATTTAATATGGGATGACTATTAATAATGTATTACATAACTAATAATGTGTTATATAATTGAAATATGCTAACATCATATAGCTTACATCCTGTCACCAGGCACACAAAGGTTCTGATGTAAGGTGAACGGTATGCTACGTAGCCTGCCTAGAGTACTCATTTCAAATGTGAATCAAGGGGCCAGCAATGTGGCATAGTAGGCTAGACCTCCCCCTGGCATCAACATCCCATTCAGGCCCCAGTTTGTGTCCCAGCTGCTTTTTTTCTAATTAAGTTCTCTGTGTATGGTCTGGGAAGCAGTTGAATATAGTGCAACTGCCTGGGCTCCCACATGGGAGACTCACAAAAACCTCCTGGCTCCTTGTTTAGATTGGCCCATTCCAACCATTTGGGGAGTGAATTGCAGATAGAAGACCTCTCTCTGTCTCTCCAACTACTGTATGTATAATCTTTAAATAAATACCACATTCCAAGCATGTGCTGTCTGGTACTTTCACAATGTAAATACAGAAGCACATCTAGTCCAAAAGTCCGGGACCTGATATATGGGGCCAATGTTAATCTGCAGACATAGCGAGTGTCCACATTTATATGAGAGGAACTAAATTCAAGAGGATTACAAGGTTTCTGCAAGACACATGTCCAATAAAGAAGAATGACCAGGATTCAAAATAAAGGAAGATGACAAGCTACAAACTAAGCAACAGAAAGCAGGTACATGCAAAATAAGATTGGAAAAACTAACAATTAGGGAACAGATAAGCTGGATATGATGAAGCCTACTTTGAAAAGATCAAAGTTGTTAAGTTTGTGAACACAAAACAAGAGCAACGTTTAGTGTAAAGACGTGAAAGGATAAGAAGACCTAGGAGAAGCCACCATTGTAGTAAAAGAGGGAACCAAAGGCTTTCAGAGACTCCAGAACCACCAGAAACTGTGATTCAGACAATGAGGAAGTTGAGCACATCAGTTCATTCTCTGCACCCACCGCCTTGCCCAACACAGCAGTCACTGACAAATACCAGACCTCCCTTTTCCACTGTAACATCACCATGTGATCAACGCAGTCACAGCTCACTGAACCCAGTGAGAACAAAGTGCAAGAGTTGAATGTAACAGAATATGTATCTTAACACAATTATAATCAATTACAACAAGGAAAGGCTATTTTACATTAACAAAAAAATCCATATGTATTGTGGAATTCATTCTGGAAACATAAACTCAAAATTCAGGTTATTTCTGAAGAATAACAAAGTTAATGAACTTCTAGAAGGAGGGTACCTCTTCTTAAAGGGAAGACACCAATCATGCCAGACTTAGGAATAATCATTTTCACAAAGATTTCCAACAAATGCTTCCATGGTTAGGTACAAAAAAAATCAATAAACTCTTCCTGAAGAGAGAAAAACAGAATTGTGTTAATACATTATGATTAATAAATAAGGCTGAAGTAATTAATAAACAAGGTTGAAACGGATATGTTGGGATATGATTGTGAGTTTCAGCCCGTGTGTACACTCCACTGGAACTGTGGCCTTCTTACATTTCTTTTAAAAGATTGTATTTATTTGAAAGTTACAGTTACAGAGAGGAAGAGGCAGAGAGAGAGCAGAGCTTTCATCAGCTGGTTCCCTTCCCAAATGGCCCAGGCAGGGCTCAGGCAGGCCACAGCAAGGAGCCTGGAGGAAATGTTGGGGACAGTTTCTCTCAAAGGGAATTCTTGTGAATGTTGGCTTTCTAGTGTAAATACCTGTGTAGGATGTTTATTGTTTCTACCAAGCTGCAGAGCTGACCTCATCAAACCTGGTAACAGAGAGGACTTCCCGGCCGCCTCAGCACAGGGCCCAGAAGCCTGTGCACCCGGGCTCCATCTATGACGTCACTTCCACGCGCCCTCAGGGTGGTGCCTCCTGAGCGGCTCCATGGCCTGAGCACCAGCCAGCAGACCCGGAATTGCGATGTCGCCTTTGTGCAGCCAAGCGCCTGAGCAGGAGACCCCGCAACTCTCTTACAGCCTACACAGACCCAGGACAGAGGCGCTCTTACACAGACCACCTCCGAGAGGTCGCAGGACACGCAAGAGCGCCTCATGGATGAACGGGCAACAGCACAAGACCAGACAAGGACGGGGCGCGGTGGAGACGGAGGAGGGGGGTCGTGAGGGATGGAGGAAGCGGCACTGTTCTGCTTCTGGATCTGGGTGCTGGTGCATGGGTGTCCACTACAAAATCCGTGGAACAGGAAATTGCGGAGAATTTGCTGAACTTCAACATTCAAAACTACTTCTGAAGGAGAGGACGGCTGGCCACAAAACAGGAATTGGATTTGGTAATTAGAGGAAAAGTCTATTTCAAACTGCACTGATCAAGGGAATGAAACCATGACGAGGGCAGAGGGGGACGTGGAGAGCCGTCCAGGAGGCAGCCACATCTGCTTAAGACCAGAGAAATCCTGGAGCGGAAAGAGGCAGTGGTGGAGGACAGACCACCACTAAGCGATGGACCAGTTCTTAGTTGAAGGTCGCTGAGGGGTATTTCCAAATGTCACCCTGACATAGCAGGATGAAGCACAGATTTTATGAGCTCCTGTAATAAACTGAGTTTCTTCACAGGAAGAGCCTCTTTCTGGCGTTAGATAATGGGTTGGAATCACAGAAAACCGAAGAGAATGGAACTGTGAGCTCCTGAAAGACAAGGATCCAACCCTCGGAATCTAACGGAAATGTGAGGTGAAATCCATCAGCCTTGGGGACAAAGACATGTGCTAGGATTCAAGCTGCAGAGCACGTGTTGATGTCCCTGAGGAACAGAATGGAACAACAAGTTAAGTGGGTTAGAGACTTTAAGATAGAGAAGATGAAATTGGGAAAAAAATATATTGATTAAAAAGATTTTATGATGTAAATACACTGAAAGTCTCTACACCCCAACCACTGGGAAAGCTTCAGGCCATTGCTGGTGGGTATTTAACTGTAGCACACAACTCCTGGACAGCACAAGGGACTGGATCCTAATAACAAAGATATAAGCATGAGAAGGGGAGGGGATCTTATGGAAGGATTTATGCACATGCTGGGAGACATGCCTGCATTTCAGTGTCTGTTAAACAATGAACCTCCTCGATTTCCCATCTTCATCACCTCTGTTTTCTGAGCTCTTTACACAGGGACATTTATTTTTCCTGCAGCCCATTCTTTAGGAATTCCTGTGTTTTATCTCGCAAGATCACTTGATACACATCTAACCCCTATCAAAGTCCCTGAAAAATGAGACCTGGGTGTTAAAAATGAGACCCTTGTCAAAATTTCATAAATGAATATGGAAATTCTTACACAGCTGAACAGATATGAGGCAAGCACCAAATACAATTTTGCATTTTCTATTAGGTGCATTAAAAGCAGAAGCAACTAGTTTTAATAATAGACAATACATTAATTACACCCACAGCATAACTTAAACATGTACACAGTTTGAAAATTTATATATTCAATTTAACATTTTGAAATGTGTTTTTTAAATGAGCTGAATACTTCAAGTGAGATTAGTTCGATGGTCACCTGCCTTTGTTTCCTCATAAAATCTCTGTGGTAAATGATGTCACATCAACCAAGGAAAGCTCTTGGAGAAAAAGGCATTCTCATCATTAAAGGCAAGAAGTCAATTTGGGAATATTTTTGGTATTTTTCATCAGCAAAAATGGGCAGAATGTTGGGTAGCATGATGATAAAATTCCAGTAATGCCCACCAATCTTGAGTCTTTCTCAGGTCTGTAATATGCATAAATGTCCATAAAGTTGTTGCAACAGTAAAAGAACACAAAACAAAATGCCAGCAAAAGGATAATGTGGGTGGCTCTGTTTTCTGGAGACATCTGCCTGGAAAGGACACAGCTGTGGATGTGCCGGGCTCTCCTGTGGTGTCTGTAGAGGAGCCCCACCATGTAGAGGCTGGACACGATCATCGGTGCCAGGAACAGGACATCACGGGTCAAGATGACACTTATAAATGACCCTGAATGGCGATCTCCAGATTGCCTAGTTTGACAATACGCATGAACAAACCCATGACCAATGAAAGTGAAATTCCATTTGGCTCTTACAGTTTCAATGATGTGGATGTAGATCAGCAGATTGATGATCCAGAAGATTAGGAAAGAGGGGAAAATCCAGGTAGACAACTTAGATTTCAGCCTTGCCCATTTAGAATGACTGGGACTGATAGTGATGGCTTGAAAAGCACTCAGGAGAGACGTGGTACAGATGGAAAGACCCCGGGCAACTCTGTAGATGTAAAAAACAGTTTGACAGCCAGCATTATCTAAGAAACGTTTGACTCCAAAGGATGACATGATCTCTGGTATTGACTGGAACACGATGGTTATAATATTGGCCATTGTCAGGTGCATGAAAATGGAATCTATGGGCTTCTTCAGCTGAGGCTGGATTAGGAAGGCATAAATATAGTTCATAAAGAGAAATGAATTGGCCATGACACCAATAGAAATCTGAGCTATGAGAAAGAAGCTCAAAATTTTGTCACCTGGAAACATGTCAATAACGTTTCAGTTAGGTAAGGTTGGCATCCACTGAAAAATAAATAGATTGTACTGTGACGTGATGTTTTTAACAAGGAATTTTTGAAGAATGTGAAGACTGACAGTTCAGTGTTGGGGGGGAGGGGCAAGTGGTCAAGCTTTCTGCTTCAGTCTTTGCTGTGCCTCTTCCAGAAATAGAATAGCGGGCAGTGTTTGAACCTCAGACTACGGAAGTAGGTGATTCGAAGATGCTCACATCCTACATTTCCATTAGTGCATGCTGGCATCTGTGAATGACAAATTACATTAAAAGTGCTTTTTTTCTTCAGAGTATTAGATTGCTTCTTACCTCTGATGATATGTGTATATCCAATCCTTTCTAAAGAACACTACATTTCTGATACATGTACTGTACTATGAATATCTGAACTTCATTTTTACAATTTAGATTGCAGACACAATTCTTTCAAGACAGGAAACATTTAACCACTCACATATTATGATACTCTAAATATATAATTCATTTTCAAAATACAGAAGGAAGTAGAATGGAGTTTTCAAGTGGGGTTTTTTTCCTCCCCTCATCCAACCAGCTGTGTTTGGAGACATATTTGGTCTCACACGTGGTGCAGAGCTCCTGTCACAGTGGGTAGAGACCAAGATTGCTGTTAAATTTCCCACCATGCACAAAATTTCCCACAATGCACAGGATAGCCAATACCACAGAACTTTGGGGCCCCAAGAAGAAGTCACATGACAGCTGATGAGCCCAGAATAGCAAATCATCACTGAGTTGTGCTCCCTGCAACACATGTAAAATAAATATTTTGGCCCACACATATTTTGAACACTTTTAGGGGAAACAGAGTAGAGTGAGTTGGTTCACAATTACAGTGAGAACAGGAATGGTATGACAGTCACTGAGGCTGACTTCTAAATTAATAACTTTAATATCTGTGTTTGTTGATTTTTGAAGTTGTTGCCTATATCATTCTCTCAGAGACTTACTTTTCTCAATTGTCTTTGTCGTGCACACATTCCCATTCTTTACTATATAGATTTCTAGTAATGATGTCACTTCTATATGGACTATAAAAGATCAAAGTTTGAGAAACAGAGGAAAGATGATTCTCAGGAGTGATAAGGTAGGGGAGGGAGATGTTAGTGAAAGGGTACAACCTTGCAGTTAGAAGATGAATACTTTCTGGATAGCTGCTGCATTATAAGGTGAATATAGTTGATAATAATGTACTATATCATTGATATTTGCTCACAACATAGCTCTTACAATGCTCTCCCCAATGTATAAGGTTTCTATTGAAGGTGAATGGTATGATAATGAACTTAATTGTAGTACTCATATCAAATGTATGTCAAATCACCCCAGTGTTTTAGCTATCAAATAAGCTATCATCTACCAATTATACCACCACAAAACTGAAAACAGTCTAAATTACAATGTAAAAGCAGAGAATGCAAGAGTCAAAAAACCACATCCCAAGTATGTGCCATCGAATGCATCCATATAAATACAAATGCACAGTCCAAAAGTAATTGGATGGGACATGATACATAGGGCCAATGTTGACCTCTAGACATAAGGTGTGTCCATTAAATATTAGATACATGAAGCTTCAAGATCACTACAATGTTTGTAAAAGAAACAAGTCCAATAAAGAAGAAAGACAAAATCCAAAATAAAGGTAGATAACAAAATACAAACCTAGCAACAGAAAGCAGGTTCATGCCAAATAACAATGGAAAACAAACATTTATGGAACAAAAGAGCTGGATATAATGAAGTGCACATCGCAATAATGAAGGTTGTAAATCTGTGAGAATCAACACTAAACGTGCAGACACATGAAAGGATCAGAACATGGAGGGGAATCCACCATTGTAGTAAGACACGTAAGCAAAGGCAATGCAATTTCAGAACCACCAAGCAAAGAGGGAGTCAGACAATGAAGAAGTTGAGCAGCTCAGTTCATCCTCTGCACCTAATGCCTTCACCAACACATGCGTCTCTATCAAATGCCCAACCTCCCTTTTCACTAGAACATGCACCATGTAATCAGTGCAGCCATACGGCAAACACTGAACCAAATGAGAACAAAGTACAGGGTTTAACTGAACAGAATAATTTATCATAGCAGAATTATAATGAATTCTAAAAAGGAAAGGATATTTTATATTATCATTGATTTTTCACTAAGTTCCAAAAAACTTTCCTTAGTAAGAACAAAGTGAAAAAAAACCTTTCAGTATTGTGAAACACATTATAGAAACATAAAGTCAAAATGCAGTTATTCTGAAGAATAACAACATTACCAACCCTTAGAGAATGGTAGCACTTCCTAAAGAGAAGATACTAATAATATCTGACTTAAAATGTTAAAATCAAAACTGAGAAGTTAAAAATAGTTGTAAAAGATGATATTGTGACTATTGCAATAAATTTGAAAGGTTGAAACATATGGGCAAATCCCCAGAAAACATGACTCACCAAAAATACATTAGAATTACAGAAAGTCACCAATGTGCAAAGTTTCACATGATGAAACTGAGTTGCAGGAAAAAATATCATTCCACCAAGAATCCCAATGATTGCCTCAATGCTGAGGAATAAACAATGTCTAAAAACCCTTCCTATGGACAGAAAAAGAGCATTCCTTTAATCACATAATGTAGTGAGCACAACACTGACAGCAACAGCTAATAAATCAAGTCTTAATGTACAGAGATGGGACTACCTACTCCATCAGTCAAATGGAGAATAACCTACACAAATTCATTATAAAGTGAATCAGTGCTCTCCAAAATGAGTAAAAATGAGTACCAAAAACCAAGAGAATTACCCAATTGGAAGGGTAAGGTGGGAATCATTTTACTAACAAACTATGGCTCAGAAACCACGAAGATTTCTGAATCTTCCCAGTAGTTTGCACATCCTCTTTTTGAAAACCTTCAACTCCAGATCTTTTGCTATTATCAACATTACACAGAAGTTGAAACTCGAATTTTCTCAGTATGTGACAATTCCCTTAAGCATTTGGTGAAGTGATCATCATCTAATTTTAGCAGATTAGACGTGTGTTTATACTACCTCAATAGGATTTTTTTTTATTTGAAAGACAGAGTTACAAAGAGAGGAAGAGACAGAGAGAGAGGTCTTCCATCCACTGGTTCACTCCCCAAATGGCCGCAATGGCCAGAGTGGTGCCGATCCGAAGCCAGGAGCCAGAAGCTTCTTCCAGGTCTCCCACATGGGTGCGGGGGCCCAAGGGCATGGGTCATCTTCCACTGCTTTCCCAGGCCAAAGCAGAGAGCTGGATCAGAAAAGGAGCAGCCTGGACTAGAACCTGCACCCTTATGGGATGCTGGTGCTTCAGGCCAGGGCTTTAACCCACTGTGCAGGCCCAGGATATTTTAATTTCTGTAAATAACATGTGATTTCTGAATGCTCTCTCCTACATTATACCATGGAGTAGAATAAAGAAAAAAGGGAAAGGTAAGGTTAACATTTTGAAAGATACGTGTAAGATCAACCACAGCTGTAATAGAGGAGAAAAATGGCTAAAGTTCATATAACAGAACAAAAAGAAAGGCTTAGCATACATGAAAGACCTACAACGTCAATGCTAACATATAAGGATTATGTATTGAAAATCCTTGATTTGAATTGGATATGAGCAAAAATATCTTTTGCCACTTTTATTCATCACACATTTGCAACGGTCTATTTTAAAAAGAATAATATTAATATCATTACAAAGAAATTAAAAGTCTTTTACCATTTAGTAATTGTTTTAAGAAAGATATTCAGGGCCAGCGCTGTGGCACAGCAGGTTAACGCTCTGGCCTGAAGTGCCGGCATCCCACATGTACTCCAGATCTAGTCTCTGCTGCTCCTCTTCTGATTCAGCTCTCTGCTGTGGCCTGGGGTAGAGGTAGAGGATGGCCCGAGTCCTTGGGCACCTACCCCCACATGGGAGACCTGTAAGAAGCTCCTGGCTCCTGGCTTCGGATCAGCACAGCTCCAGTCCTTGCGACAATCTAGGGAGTGAACCAGCAGATGGAAGACCTCTTTCTCTGTCTCTGCCTCTCTCTGTAACTCTGTCTTTCAAATAAATAAAACAAATCTTCAAAAAAATAAAGATATCCATAGACACATTGACTAAATTATTTAAATGATTTGAGGAAGTTTCAAGGTTACTGTGAGAGCAAAGTCTGTATAAGAACATTTCTATTTCTAAAAAATTAAAGGCTGATACTACTTACATAACAGATATATGAAAACATAATAGCTAATATATTATAAGATAAAAAACCTCTACCAGAAATGATATCAATTGATCTAAGTGTGACTGAAGCCCTTTTAAATAAAAAGGTGTATACATTAATTTGAAATAAGAAGTAACAACTTAAAATGGAAAGATGCCATAAAAAGGAATATAACATTAAAATAAAAAATTATAAAATCAAATTAGAGGCATATTCATTGCAGTGTCATAAACATCCAAGTAGGTACTGAAGCAAAGAGCAGAGCATAGGGCAGAAGCAAAGAACTCAGTGGACGGGGGCAATGAGGGATCTGGAGAGGTTCAGAGACTGAGAAAGAAGAGAATGAAGGAGTGAAAACAAATGGAGGGGTGACAAGAAACAGTGGCAACAAAAATAAGAACATACAGGTAAACTTCTCAGAAAAACGCTGGAAGGATGAATATGAAAACATTAAAACGGACCTGGTGTGAGCAGGTGGGAGACCTCGCTGCCCTCCCGCCCCAGGCGGGGGATGCAGGGTCCTTACTGGGGGCATCCTGCACAGGCTGGGGCTGCCCAGCACTGACTATGGATCAGGCTTGGGCCAGCGGGATGTCTCCTCCCAGTGGGCACTGGCCATCTTATCACCTGCTGCCTCCACCACCTTGTTTATCACTGTCACTTCGAAGGCCCTGGGAGAGTCCCAAATCACCCTCCCAGACGCAAAATGAATCATGCGTAGTGGAATGTCAGTGTCTGGGGCGGCATTTTCCCAAGCTGAATGTCAGAAAGTAAACTTCAGGATGACACATGTCATCAGAAGTTCATCTCCACGCAGCTGGTGGCAATCATGTCTCACCAGAGGTTTCTTAATTTTTTTAGTTAAGACCTGATGTCTGACTTTATTTTCCCTTTCCAAGCAGTGATTATTTCTATGAAGTTCTGTTTTTGTCTTTATCAACCCTATTAACGTCTTATGGAGAGTTATTGTTATTCGTTTTTAAACATTTATTTATTTATTTCA